GATTTACTCTTTCAGTCCCTCCCTCCAGGAAGATATTTTGGAGCTGTCTTGCTCTCTGAGAAGTTGGATGGTTTCCTGACAGACCTCAATGTGGATTTGAAAGCCAGGCAAGGCAGCCCAGCTGCACTTCTTATCCTCCACTGCCTTGACCTTGAGGAACTGGTTCTCTGTAGTACAATGCCCATCTGATAGGAGCTGGTGATGCTTCCCTTTTTGTGGCCCTTGGTTGCCTGCAGTAAGGTGGAAGCTTGAGCTTCTCTACACTCTGCCTTGGACCTTTCCCTTTTCTTTCTCTAAGCAAAGACACAGTTAAACCACAGCAAATAATTTTATGTCAGTAACAGGCCAAGCAACAGCTGAGTCCCAAAGACAAGCACGTAGAAGGGGGAACAAATTGTATGAGTCAGACTAAAAGCTTCATAAATATTGACTGGTTTTAACAGTCCCCTAAGGAACAGAGAATCTCATTTTATAACAACATCTCCCTCCCTGTTATGCACTCTCTCCTTTCAGGGAGCTGTGAGGGGGACTACTCTCCTGGCTTATGAGCACAATATTTTAATTCTTTTCTGCAGTCAAGTTGCCCTGTCAGGGACTTTGCACCACACATCAGCAGAGTATCTGAACACCTTCCAGTGGTGCTTTAAATAACAGACTGGAGTGTGCTTTGTTCTCCCAAGTTTGCCCCAGGGTAGAGGTGACTCAGGCAGAGGAGAAATCAGACATTAAATATATAAGGGATGAAAGGTGAAGAGGACAGGCATTTCAATACCTTCTCCTCTGGTTCCTACCAGGTGAAGCACAGTTGGAGACTCAGAGGAGCAGATAGATGCCATAGGAATATAGACAGAAGAGACAAATGGGGAAAAGTCTACAATGGGGATACAAGCAAGGAAGGCAGACACTATGGAAGAGAGAAAGGACTTAGCCACAGAAGTAGGAAACAGCTTGTTGCATATGTAAATAGATAGAGGTGATCGGGGCATGTGGAGGGAGAGGGAGTACACTAAGTCATTGCCCAGGGCAGGGAGCAAGATGACTCCTGCCTTTCTGACATTGTGTAGGAAGTTCATTTCACCCCTGCTGTGCATGCAGCTGCCTTTTCTTGCCAACTGTAAAGCTCACCAACTTCCCCCTGATTTGATAGCACTTGCAAGCCCTCATTCTGTCTTTCCCTCTACAGGGCATGTCCACTCCCCATTTCCAAATCTAATTCCCCACCCTCATCTTATTATTAGGAACATTCTAGGCAAGAAAACAGATGCATGAAATCTCCCCATATGTACCACACAGTATGAAACCCTGTCTCTACCACCTGAGACTAACTAGTTACAGCCAAGTCCCATCTTTGGGGCAAAGGTTGAGTAATAGTTCATATGTACTTTCTCCCAGTCTTTAGTAAAGACACTTCCCTGACAGGCCCTCCCTCAGCAAGTTGTTTGCTTTGGGACAAAACAAGCTATGGTTAAGTGGAGACCATAAGACCATGACAAAGCCTGTGGATGCTGATGAGGCTCACCTGGAATACATGATGCATGTGGTAGTTTTGTGTGCCCTCAGGAGGCTCTGAAAAAGAAAAGAATATTCTCTCTCTCTTCCAAATCCCAAATGTGCAGCATACAAAGTGGTCTGGAAACCTGCCACTCCAAGCTGGCTCTGTAAAATAGCCTTTTTATTTTCCTTTTTCAGCAGCTCAACACTGCCTCCTACAAGTCACTCAAGTCCCACAATGAATTCCATCTGTCTGAGACTTGCTCTGAAACAGTGGGATTAAACTCAGGTTAGGTTATTTGGGGCTGCATCTCTTCTAGAGACAGCCCTAGTTTCATTAGAGCTAATGGCAAAGCTCAGAGTAACTTCAGAGAAACGGGGATTTTATATAACATACCTGAAAGCCTTTATCACTCCAAGATCCACCTGGCAGAAGAGTCTGTGCACAGAGAGAAGCTGAATTTTTTGAGGAAGATGATGTCAGAGGGAACAGGTAGCCAAGTGCAGTGGTGCTGACAGCAAGACAGGGACCCATCCCAAGAGGGACAAGCAGGGCAGGATCAAAGACTGCAGCCAGATTCAGTCAAGAGCCCCCCTCATCAGGGAAGCCCCTGATGATGAGCCAGGTCCCCGGGTCAAGATGGAAGTCAATACACTGGTGAGAATCAGGCCTGATGACACTAGTCAGGAACAAACAGGTCAGTGAATATCAGACAGTCCACAGAGATGGGGTATATCTGAGGTTAGGCCAGGAAGTCAACTTGCAGGTCTGGGTTCAGATCAGCAGGGACCATGTGCAGGCAAAGACAACTGAGCCCCAGACCAGCATAGCTCAGGGAAAAACAGAAGTGGACCAGGGCTGAGCTTAAATGGGGCTCCTGAGCTGATGGGCAGAGAGGGTGGTGAGGCCCCAGCTGAGGATGCTCAGGACTATTAACACCCTCTGGGCCCTGACATAGTTATTCATCTCTCTCATGCTCAGGGCTAGTGCAGCTGAATTTGTGGCATCTGCTTGGGCCAAGTTTTCTCCATTCCTGCCATCTGGACTGGTTGGCTTTGTCTGCACAGCTCCGTGGAAAGAGAAACTAATACATGGTGAGGCTAAAACAGAATAGGACCTTGGAAGGTGGAGATGGAACTCACATCTTCATGCTCTCATTATCCTTGAACTCCAGACACAAGTACTCAGTGGAGCATGTAGAAGACATTATCACTGAGTGAAGCAGTAGGAAGAATGTGGAGACTATGTTGTTTTCCTGTGGAGAATAAAATACGTAAGAACAAAGTATAATAGTATTTCCAGCATCTGGACAAATGGGCAGCGGAATTTTCCAGGTAGAAATCTTAGAGAAGTCCAACACTGCAAATCAACAACCTCATAACTTCAAAAAATGCAAAAATTCCACCAGTGCTTGGCAGCAGCTGCCAGACGTCTATTCACCAACCCATCCGATGAGAGCATCCACTCCTCACAGCATCCAGTAATCTTCCTTTTCATATGTAAATATAGCATGGCAGTTTCTCACCTTCACCAGAGCCCTCATTTGAAAGGTCTGGCACACTCTATACATGAGTTGCTTTGGGGGCTGAACATTGCAATGATCCAGGACTGAAGTTTCTCTGCAGTGAAAGAGGAAATCCCAGGAATAACTCATCTTCCTGAAAGAGCCTGCCAATAGCCCATGAGATCTTACAGCCAAGGGTAGGAAAAAACAGTCAGAGATCTGTGGATTCTTCACAAACTGGAAGAACCCACTGTGTATCAAGGCAAAGTCAATTTCACAGCAGATCTCAAGAGAAGCTGATAGGAAGCTGGAAAGGCACTTATCACCAAGTTCAAATGGACCTGACCTTCTCTTAGGAATTTAGTTTTGAGTCATAGCTACTATTGTCCATACTGGACTCCTGTGCAAGGTGCTGCTCATCAAGTTATGGCCTCTGCTTCATGGGGGCTACTCAACCCTGATCAGTTTGAAACAGGCAGCTTAGGGAGACAGAGGTGGCTGGAAAAGTGTTCTTAGTGGAACACAGGTATCCTTGAGTCCAAACAGAACTTTGTGAAGAAGGGAAGTACTTCAGCTAGCTGATCATTGTCTCACACAAATCTGAGGGAAAATACAAGTTTAATTTATTTGTACATATTATATCTGCAGGGAAAATTTTGGAATATTTTCTCAGTAGAGAAGTATTCATTAATAGAAGCATCACATTCATTATTATAGACATGTCTTGCAAAAACTCTAAGCCTCTTCCCCTATATTTTTATTTATAATACATCAAATAATAAAATAATACAAGGGTTATTAAAAGGCTAGTCATTCTATACATATCCAAGGCACAGAGCAAGTTGTAGGGAGAGCAGGGGACCAGAAGCCAAAAGCCCAAACATGGAAATGATACTAAGATGAAGTGCAGGTACCATTAGATGAAGCTATGTTGGGTAATCTGGCATGACGTGGTGTCAAAAAAGCACACACAGTGAGTCACTAGGAGTGTATGTACAAGTCAGAGCTTGGCCTGATCCTCTCCCCCATCCCACCACGGGGGGAGTAAGCCAGCGGCTGTCTTGTGCTTAGTTTCTGGCTGTGGTTAAACCATGGCAAGTGCAGATGATTCAGTTCTGCATGAAAAGCAGAAGTGAAGAACAAAATTTAGTGCTGTTACTATTACAACTTTTTTCTTGGTAAGATGGTAATAGAAAAGCTGTAGCAGGTCCCTGATCAGTAGTGATGGATAAGCAATGAATGGAAGTCAAACTAAAACATAGTCATGACCTGAGAGGACATGGAATATGTACAATATGCCTCTATAATTTGTTCTAAAATTATAAAATAAGGCTGTGTAGCCAGAACCAGCGTCTGACCTTCCACTTCTTTTTTTTCCCCCAAGAAAAAAACTGAAGACACTTGCCCATCCTTGACGTATTCCATATCACTGCCAAATCTGCACTCCCCCACTCAAAATAATCCCAAAATAGGGTGTGATGCCTTTCCCGTTGACAAAGCCGTAAGTCACAGTGAGCAAGACACACTCGACATCCTCCAATCAGTTAAATGAAAAGAGCTCTACCCCTCTGTTTCCCACCACTTCAGCACTCATTATATCTCACATTAATTAATATAGGAGCTAGGAAGTGAGATGATAAATTACAAAACCCCATTAGCCTGATTCTGTCCAAACTGGGAAAATATGGCAACTTGTACATTAGACAAATCTTCCTTGCTAACGTGGGAGTCCTCATGTCTGAACTCCATTAAAGCAGCAGCCCTGAAAAAATATTTTTAATGTACATATGTATGGAATGCATATCAACGTGCGTGAACAGTGCACGCCTGTGGGAACATCAGAATTCATTAGATCAGTCTGATATGAGATCTATTGAACAGGTTCCATCTGACATATGTTACTGGGTTGTTCTGTCCACTCCCAAAGGAGTGAATCATATTGACAGGTTGAATTATATCTCAAGAGATATTTTTCTCCCCTCCTCCAAAGGCCATTTGCAATCACGGCACATCCACTGCCTCTTAAAAGTGAGCTCATCTGGCGCTGGGTTGCATTGAAGTCCTCCACCGTGCCTGAAGGAAGAATGCTTCTGGGCAGTGGGAACGTGGACAAGATGTGGTCTGTCCAGCTGTGTCTTGGAGTGCTAACCATCCTGACCATGACTGTGTGTGTCCCATCCACACATGGAGAACCTTTTTTACTACAAGGTAAGCTGGAATACAGGCTACATGACACAGGTAGGTGGTTATGCTTTTGCTTTGCTGCTTGCCATGGCCAATGCAACACTCGCTTATCTGGGAAAGGAAACAAAATGAACCTCGGGCTATACTAAACAATCAATTAACATGGGTGCTAGTGAGAGACTTGTTCATATCAGCATGAGCTAAAGCTGTTCTTCTAATCTGCAGCTGGTTGCATGACACATTCTGCTAATGAGTGAAAATATCAGATCTGGAGAAATCTGTTAAGGGTAGCTCTTTCTCTCCAATAAAAAATCTCCAAAGAAAAACATTAAAATATCAGAGAGTAGCATTTCAAGTATGTACCATATGAGATTTGGCAGCTCATAAATGTCAGTAGTAGGGTGCTGCTGAACTTTTTTTCTTAAAAAAAAAAAAATATAAAAAGAACTTCTTTTTGTATGTTCTTCTCCCATAATTTAAATTAGTCTTAGCTTGAACTTATACTGCAGGGAAACGTCAATCATTAATGTTCTTTCTTAAAGAGACTTGGCAGTGGAAAAAAGAATGAGCAGCTAAATATAGCCTTGAAAATAACATTGCTTTTCAAATGTTTTTTCATCTTATATCACCTATTTATTTTTGTAATGACAACCAAAATATTCCCAAGGCCAAGCTATCTAAATACTGCTTGTGTTTAGCTTTTACTAGAGTGTTTATAGGGTGTTTTTTTTCCTGTAGCAAATCCCCTGAGCAAGTAAAAGTAGGTATTTTAAAATTATAACTGTCTTTCAGACTTAAGAACAAGGTTTATAGCACTCCATGCTAACTGCAAGTTTTACACAGCGTATAGCTTTGTTCACTCCCTTGGGTTTATTTCTAGAGATCACAGTCGGGGCCAGAGGCTTCAGCTGCAGCGTGAGGCAGGGTTGGGTCTGGCCAAATACCTGGAGCACCCCTTTGTCCAGCATCCCTCTGCTTCTGCAGATTTATGTGACTTCAGCTAACAGAGCTGATTCCCATATACTCTTGAGCATCCTTCAGGCTCACCTGGTATAATGCTTTGCCTCATGTTTATCAAAAATAATTGCATTCATCCCCTCAGAGCTCTGTAGGGCTGATGGCTATTCGAGACTGTTTTCTCCTTTCTTACCTCCCTGAAGCCATTGAGATGAAGTCCTAATGAAGAAGAGAAAATAACCCTTTCTGTATAATTTCTTAGTATTTTCCATGGATTCTGTAGGTATCTTCTAGGGCTTTGTAGGGTCTTGGTGTGCAGAAGGGGTGTTCAAACCAAAGATTTTGTGGAATGGTCACTCCACCTATAATGTCTGGCTCTTATTCTGTCATTATCAAAAATCAGTGCAACATTCTAGTCTCAGATGAGTCTGAAAATCTGTTGAGCAGAGCTGGGAGGGTCTCTTCAGGGCACTGATTAGTCCCGTCCTGTGTCTGTTGGTTTCTGCCAAACCCTTGACCTTAACAACCATTCATTTGAGGGCATAGCCACAACCACTAAAGTAAAACCACTGAGAAAGCTCCCTAAAGGGGCCTCCTAGAGATGTCCAAATTGCTTGGGGAAGTTTTTCCTGGAAAACAGAAAAACTCTGCATAGTCTTGCTTAAAGCTCCTCCACAGTTGGTTCAGGAGGAATCCTGCAGTATTGTTGGCAGTCAGATAGAGCAGGCTGTGTTAGTGCAAGAACGGGCTGTGGGGCTTCAGGGCTTGTCAGCTGTGGTACCCACATACCAGCCTCATGAGAAGTGAGTTCTCACCTCTATTGGCCCTGGGAGGTGCATGGTGTGAGTGGGGGGAACACCTGCAGTTTTGAGAAGAGAGGATCTGGTGGGTTGCTTGTCTGGCTTTGCAGAGGCATCCACTATATCCGCCTTGCAGAAGAGGGACTGTCTAAATGAAGGTGATGTCTCCAGCTCTCTGCAGCCAGCCATGCTGATGAAGCTGCATAGAAACTGGCCAGCAGCCCGGGGCTGGAAGGGAGGGCTCCACATCCCACACACCCTTTCACTGCACAGCCCTCACTGCCTGGACATTTTATTCTGTGCTCACACACCTTCTTTTTCCCCTGAGCTCCTTCTACCCTCATGAGTGCTGACAGGAGACATTTTCTTTCCACTCCTTACCCTGCTTAATGTGATTAAGAGATTAATTGAATCAATTAATTGATTCTTAATTTGATGAGATTGAGAAAGATGTGTTTTATGTGCTGCAGAGAACCGAGTGCTTCCAGAGAGAGAAGACACAAATCATGAGGACACACTGCTGAATCTACTTCTTAATAAGAAATTTGCATGGCGGAGGCCAGAAAATATTGGTAAGTAAAGGGGATGGGAGATCTCCACTTTCTGAATCTGTGTGTGCATGAATGCAAGGAACCTGATTCTCAGGTTCCTCAGAAATACCAGCTGCTCAGAAAGCAGAAGCACCCAGTATGGTGCCTACATGTCAGATGTTCTCCACCATGGGGCTCCAGGACCTGCTTTTGCAATGCCAAAAACCACATTTCCCACATCCTCAGACACTTAACATTGTGCTGGCAAGTGAGACTCTGTGTGTACATAAGTAATAACAAGAAGAGATTCTGCTGAGTTCCTGTGCACCTGATATCCCTGAGACATTGCGTTCAATGCCTGGGATACGGGCCAGCTTTGGGAGCCACCTCTCCACCCACACCCCACACAGCCCCATGGGCTTTTGAGAGACAGCTCAGCATCTTGCTGAAATCAGCAGCACCTTGTGAACACGTGGGGCAGTGGGGTGGCGACAAAACTTTACCGAGATTGTGTAGGTGAGATCCCTTGGGGTCAGGTGTAGGCTGGGACAAGAGCAGTGGGAGCTCCTGCCTGAGCCTAAGCCCCTGCTACTGCTGGAAGAGGTTGAGACAATGGGCTTTCCCCACACAGTGGAGACACCAAAGACAGACCATGGGGAAGTTTTCCTGTTTGTGCTCTGTGAACAGACACCAAATTTAAAGCCACCATGTGGCTAAACTCAAACCTGCTGAAGAGAAACTTGGGCTTTCCCTGACATTGGGCACCAAATCGATTACAGAGGTCAGCTATTCCCACGGCCACTGCACCCAGGGGAGGGTTGGAGCTGTATGTGGTGGTCTCAGAGCAGGAAGCTGCCCTTCCCTGTGAAAACAGCTGAGAGCAGGGCCCAGAAAACATTTTGTTATGAAAATCCATTCATCAAATTCACTCAGTGCTCTTCCCCAGATGCTTGTTAATGCAGCAAGGCAGTGGTTAAACAAGCCTGGGACAAATAAATAAACACAAATAAATCAAGTCCTTATACTAACAAAGGCATCTTCTTTCAAAGAGGATGCATTCAAGAAATAACATTTTTATGATAGGTTTATGGATTATTGCACTTATTACTCCTGGAGGAAAGGCTGCATTTTATGCCAGACAATTGAATATAATGAATCTCTGAGCAGAGCACAGACAGAGGATTTACAGCAGGCAGTTTCTCAAGGCTTCATCCATAAATTAACTTCCTTCTCCCTGCCTGAGATAATCTGTTCCAAATTTCGACCGCTGTTCATTTTCTATTCATCGCAGTCGCTGGCCAAACTTACAGTTTTCAGAAAGTCAAGCCAAAATAGGCACTTGAAACTCTGAAAGAGGTTAAAATGTCTATAATAATAACAACAACAACAACATCTCTTAAGTGGCACTTTTGACTTATAGATATGCCAGGATGTCTCTCTCTACCTTATGGATATGTAAAGAAATACTTGGGAGGAATATGATCGAGGTCGTTGCTGACAGTGCCAGGAACAGAGCCCACACCTCCTGACTCTCATCCCCATCCCCATCACATCTGTCAAACTGAGTCCCGATGTAATGGTTTTGCTTAGGGATTGCTGCTTTTACTGGCAGTTAAGTATCTGTCTGAAAATATTCTGGATTTTTCAACAAAATGGTTTCCTTCTTGAAGCAGAAACCAAGAAAGCAGTCAGCTCTTTCTTGAAACCCTCCTGCTCAGTCTCAAACACTAAAAAAAACCCCAAAACAAGTCTGGCAATGTGTTTGTGAGTTGAAGTCTTATCTGAAATGTGAAATCAAGGGGAATTATGTCCTAAATCCCTTTGACAATCCAGACCAATGCCTGGTGCCACATTAAGAGTAGACAAAAGAGGCAGCTACAGGGCTGTTTTTTGGCTTGCTTGTGGGGCCCAGCAGAGATATTCCTTAGGTCTTTCCTGGCTCTTCTGCTTATTTTAGTGCATTTTTCCCAAACTAGCACTTAAAACCAGGTGATCACTTTGGGTTCCACTCCCAGGAGGACTACTGCAGCCAATCACTCAGCTTTAACTGAGCTAATGTATCTTGTTCAAAAATTAAATGGTTTTGACAACAGTCTGAGTGTAGAATGAGGTACCTCAGTCCTCAAGAGCAGCGAGACTGAAACCCCCATCCCTGCAGCTTTCCCTATTGTTAGTCCAGGCCAGTCTCAATTCAGCTGGAGGTTTTAAAGCCTGTTTCCAGGCACCAAATTCTCTCCTCCTTCTGAACAGGATGTCTCAGGGCAGTTCATTCATCCACCTGCATAGTTTTTTTGACAGTAGTACAGTACTGATTAGCCTTGAGATCTCTAAGTCTGATCTATGAAGCTGGCCCCCAGGTCCTTGTGCTCCCTCAACATTTAGAGGTGTGGAATCCATGCACTCACTGCTATGTGCCTTTTCCTGTTGCTCCACTCTGCTAGCCCAGATCTTTGCTGACTTATAAAGCAGTAAGTTCTGTTAGGCTAACTTTGTGTGTTCTGACTTCTGCCTGCATGGGATGGGTGATGTGAGCATAAACAAGTCCTAAAGGAAGCCATGAAATTTCATATAAAGGCCAGTGGCAGAAAAGCCTGCATTAGAGGTTTGCTGTTTAGCAGGATAAAATTGAAAAGCAGCAAGGAAGTTCACCTGAGTTGGTGTCGCACAATAAGTGACCTCATCGGGCCAATTCCCCTATGGCCTGGTGAACAGCAAAGAAGCCTCCCTCATAATGGAGAATTAGGATAAAGTCCAATAGGATTCAGCAGAGAAGACCTACTTTTATGTCAGTTTCTGCTGTCATTCATTTGGAGATCACTAGTAGGAATTAAATGATAACTAGGTCTTTTCTTGTCAACCCCTGGAGAGGACAAATGAGAAAAGGTTTTTAATTTGAGCTTCAGGAGGCAATGCAGATACTGACATTACTCTCTCCCCTCTTGCAGACTGGGAGTTGGCAAAGAAATTTGAAGAGCTTGAACAGGTGAGAAAAGCAAATGCACTGACACATTGATGCATGCATGTATGAATGAAAAGGATTGTTTAAGCTGTCTTTATGCCATATTCTTCCATCTTTGCATCCTGCTGCCCTTCATCCTGATGATATGATGTAAGCATGTATTGCACAAAGAGAAAAGGAGAATCTGGGCTATAAAAGCATAACCTGGGCTAAACAACTGCACAAGCTGGAAAAGGTAGAAAGAGAGCAAGGTTATAGAAGAGTGCAATGAGAGCTGAGGCAGCTCCTGCCTCTGTCACCAATGAAATGCCAGTGAAGGCCGAGCCAGGAAAAAATTAAGCACCAATGGAAATCTCCATAAAAGAAAAGCAAGTGGGAAGAGGAGGTCATGCTTCCTTCCTAAGCATTGTATCAGCTGGCTACATTAAATAACAGGTTGAAGTTGGGAGGGATAGCCACTGCCCACTTAAAACAGAATTTTTTTCTGGACTCTTTGACAGTAAAGGTGGCCCTACCTAAGGCCAGAACCCTGCCGGGCTGATCAAAGTGCACACACACACACAGAGCATCCCCACCCTACACACAGTGCCCAGGAATAGGGAAAGGTCTGCAGCAATCTTGACACGGCTCCCACTCCCCAAACTCCATGAAAAGGGGAAGTGTTTTTTCTGTCCTTCTCAGGCCAGCTGTTTGCATGGATCCTGGAGGTCATGCTAGGTTCCACATGGCACTTTTCACCTGAGACTGAAAAATCATGGTGCATCATGCCAGAGGGGAGGCTACCAACTCCTATGCTAGCCCCTCGCTCCAGTGCTGAAGGATGTAAAACTCTGATTTTCTGGGGGCAAGTCTGCCAGAGCAGAAGTCGGGATGATGGCTGTAGATGTTCACAGTCTACTAGAAAATAGTAGCTATGGATGAAGAACCAATATGGTGGACTACCCACATTATAACCAGGGAAAGCTAGCGAGAACTGTGAGGGAGAGAGAGGAGGGACAATCCAGAGCAGTGGAAGAGCAATGCTCTCTGCTGCAGTGGCTAGATGCCTGGAGACCTGCCTCAGCCCTGTCTTGACTCTTAGCCCAGTATCCTACAGCCTCCTCTCTACAGGGGTTACAGCCAGTTTACATGTACCTCCTTTGCCCTGCACTTGCCAACACTCTGTGGAGCTCCTCATAATGGGCCTTTGTTTACTGCTGTGTTTCTGTTTAAATAGCTGGAGAAGTTGAAGGATCAGCTCTCAACTGAGGAAGGGTCAGAGGTGGCCTATGCCTTGGAAAGTCTCTCAGCATCCCAGCCCAAAAAACGCGGTAGGTTTTGCGTTAGAGCCTCACAGCCATCCTGTCCACTCTCATCTCTAGGGCTTCCTTTCTGCAGCAAAGACAGTGACAGTAAACATGCCCCAAATATGCTGAAAAACAGCTGGTTGGCAGCTTATCCAGCAGTCCTGGCCCTCTCTTGTTAATGGCTGGCTGATTTAGCAGCTGGTGAGAAGGACTGTGTACCCAACCCTGTCTGCTGTCGAGGCAGATACAACTGGGTCTGCACACCAGGACCTCATAGAGGCAGTTGGTGTCGCATCTCACTTTTCACAGAGGAACATGGGGTTATATGAGCAATGAGTGCGTGCCCTGGAGGGGGTGAGTTCTGTGTGAACACGTTCCCACAGTGCACCCATTGCTTTGCTCTGGGCACAAAGCTAGTGCTGAAGGCATAATGAGACGTGGACTGCACGCATTCCCCTCTGCCAAGGTCAATGCCTCCCTACAGAGAAAAAAGGAGCACTTGTTTCTGCTGCTGAGAAGCAGCTAAAAAGGATGTGGAAATCAACCAAGAACACAGGGAACTAAGGTCTGGTAGGTCTCCCAGTTGGTCTCCGAGCTCTGTCCAGTCCATAAGCAGTCACTCAGCAGCCTGTTGTACCAGTGCTCCTGCAAGGCTGCCCCCAACAAGCACAGGGACAACGCTGCTCAAAGTGTCTTTCTGTGGAGTCCTCCACAAAGCAGCAGCAACAGCTGTGAACCAGAAGTCACTGATGACAGATCTGGCCTAAAACAAAAGAGCTAGTTCTGCCCTTAGCCCACATGCTTTGTGCATGTGGAAGTTGACAACCTGCCAGACAGCCAAGAGAAAATTCCTTTGTGCAAGGCTTGCTTAAGTGCTTAGGTGATCCTTAGGCAATATGCAATTTATAAGCAACCCTGGAGGCTGTCATTAATTTGGCTAATGTAATTCATGCCCTCACCAGTCCTGGAAGTTTTAAACATAGATAAAACTTCTTCCCCTTGCCAGGTTTAAATCAGATTCTGACAGAAATTAAAACAGAGAATCTTTGTCTTCATCTAAAGTACTTCCAGTCTGGGAGGAGCTCGTGTCTCAGCATGAGCACTGCTGATTCAGTAGAAGCTTCCTTCCAAGATTCTGCTTTCAAAAACAAGGTAGAAATCTCTTCTCATACTTGATAATAGGAGACCCACATGGGATTCATGGATTCGTGCTGGTGATACAGCTATTTATTTTTTCCAAAACCAAAATATGCATCCTTCCCTAATCTAGTCTTCTTAGAAGATCCCACAGAGATCAGTGTTGTTTGGAGGATGGTTAGTAGCAGAGTGATAGTGACTGGGTTTTAAAAAAATTAAACAAGGATCAGATCCAGTCTCTCCAAGTCAGGATCCTGCTCGTCCAGTCAGCCACAGGTGAAAAACCCCGCACACACCTCTGAGGCAGAAAAACTGCTGGCCCGTAGACAAGAAGTAAAAAGGTGGTTCCTGACATTGCTGAAGTAGAGCAAAAGGAACCCTTTTAAATCAAGCAATATGGAAACAACATTTAGATCCCATGTTCACACTACGAACAACTAAAGGAAACACCTTCTACAACTGTTATATGAAGTCAAAGCTGATAATTGAGATGTGCCCAGAAACCACACTGCTGCCTTCACACCTCAGCTCTCTCAATACATGAGTCTTTTGAAACCCTCTTCCAGAGTGGGAAGCTGGAAAAAGTCTCTTGGATGCTAACATCCTTCTCTTGCATCCCTTTCCAGCCTGCTTTTGGAAATACTGCATCTGAAGGCTCATCAGGACTGGAGGATGAAGATGAGCCCTTTCCCAAACTGCCTTGCTGGGTATTAATGTGTTAAGAATTCGTTCTGTTCTCTCATCATGCTGCTAATTTGGATGTCATCCTCCATGACCACACCACAGCCAAGTCTAACAGGGACTGTGACAGGAGCTGGTAGCCCACTGCCACTTTCTGCTGTTCCTTCCTTCCGGGTTTAACCTACCATGGTCTTCTACTTGGAAGATGCTTCCCAACTTTCTGTGCTGTCCTGTGTGTGCCATTCAGGCTGTTGCCACTGTACACTCTCCCCTTCTCACCAGGTCCCCTGGGACACCAAGCACTAACTCAGCTTCCCTGGGCTTGGGCCTCTGCCCACCCCTGCAGATGTTGCTCACAGTGGAGTCTGGGTTTCCTGTTGCCTCCTACAAACAGGTCTGTGGTGACCTAATGGCTGCTGTTGGGACAGGAAGGCAGGATGGGTGTGATGTGAAGGGCACAGGGCTCAGGTTGCCTGCCTCAGCTTGCTGAGCCAGGGCTGCTCCTCACTGTGTCCTGTCAGTGTGCACAGGGGAGGGCAAGCACAGAAATCTGGATCCTTTGGATATCATTCCAATAAATATTTTTCTGTTGCACAGAAGCATGTGGTGCTTTCTTTCTCAGCCCCTGCAGAGGCCCAAGGGGCAGCACATTTCCCTTGATGTAGGCTCTTGTTACCTTAATGGTTCATGTGAAGTTTACGATGGAAATAAGGTTCCCATTAAACACCTAGGGTTATAATGTGCCTGAGAGACAGACCCTTCCTTTTGATCAGGATCAGGAATGAGAGTTGGGTCTTCCTTATAGATATGTGTGGGATGTTGTCCTCATAGGATCAGACCAGAACCACTGGCTTCTACCTACTCACACCAAAGAGATGGTTTCAGCAGAGATTTTGGGCTCATCTGGCTGGTCAGTGCACATACTAGCAAAAGGAAGAGACCACAATCCATCAGTGATTCCTACATATATAAATCTTAAGTCACATTATGACATTTGTTTGCAAAAACAAATGACCTCGTTCCTGAAGGTGTAGATTCAGAATAAATCCTAATGTTAACTTTGAAGTTTCAACAGTATAAACGAGAGCAGGATCTGATAGCCACTGTGAATATGTTGAATGGTTTTGGCTAGCATTGAACTTTCTCTCCAGGTCTTTTGAGCCATGTGATTTAATTGTATCTTGCATACTACATAGTCTTCAAAATGTTACCTCTCCCGAAGCTGTAATTACCATCCTACACTCATTGCCTTGGGCTCTGGCAAGAAGAACACGCTTACCACAGCAGTACCTTGCATGTACTTCATTAACAGGAGATCTATTCATTCTATTATAGGCCAAAGCCAACATCTATGGAATAAAACCAGTTTCATTATATCAATGACGTCTAATGACATGCAAAATACAGTTTCCTGTTACCATTAATTATTTGTTATTTCCTTGGTAGTGATTCAGAACTTATTTCCCATTTTCTGTTGCTTTTGTGCAAGCAAAAAGGAATGTGGGAGCACACTTTCACATACCCTCACATAAGCACCAAGTCCAGGAAAAAATTACACCCTATGGACAAGAGAAGGGTCTCTCTTTCTTTAAGAGTTTGGTGCTCCAGCTGAAAGGGAAGTGTGTTCCAAGAACTGAACTGAATACCCAAAGTGGTATTGAGCTCAGATGACTTCAGATGATTTCAGCTTGCAGGAAATCCCAGTGCAATGAAAGGTCAGTGCAGCAGGCTCCATCTGTCACCTGCTTGCTGTAGCCATGCCTTCCTGACCCAGTGTGACAACTCATCAGCAAGCCAGGAAAAGGAATACAGTGTCTGTGGATATTTAACAGCTTGCTCTGATCCTAGAGACAGGAATTCCCTGGAGTGCAATGCTTCCTGCTGTGTAGCAGTGATTTTGTTCTACATCCCATCAATGCAGTTATTTAAGTGCTCATGGCACCCAAACTACACAACTGTTTTCTCACAGGCACTACATGCTGCTGTATTAGATGCTTCTGCTGCAGTGATGAGTATGTGTTGAATGCAATTAATTGACTAATTAGAAGCAGAGGTGGTGATGTTTCCCCTAGGCTTACCCTCTACATGTCACTGTGGGGGTCATGTCCTTTCCCCTAAACACACAGAACAGAAACCCTTCTCTTCCTCAGATGTCACCTCCACATAGTGCCTGCTCATACCTTACCCATGCTTGGGCAGTCACTCTTGCTAAAGTTAATGACCCACAGGCAATAATTAAAGGATTTCCCTGGAACATTCTAGCCAATCGTGTTGATTTATTAGAAGAAAATCCTCACAGGCCTCTGAATGGATTTGCAAATCCAGGCAGCACAGGACAAATCTAGTGTGTAATGGATGCTGCAGTATATCCTCATTTCACATTTGTTGATCTCCACGCTATGCACAGTGGCTGAAGCCATCCAATATTGTCTACAAAAACAAATTGTGGTGCTCAGCCTTTCAGATGTCACCATATTTTAAATAGCGCTTGCCAAGTTATGGATTTTAAAGATGCTTTTTGAGCCACAGGAGGTCTCAGGGTGCTCTGTGGTAGATGGGGCAGAGGAATGGAAAGACTATTGCTTTCTCCCAAGTAATCCATACAGTGAGGTGGGAGCAGCACTGAAGCTTCCAGCTCCCAGTTGCACCAACACCACCACAGACAACTCTGTCCTGCTTTGCTTTCACATTACCCTTCAGATGAAGGGCACTTCTGCACACAACTTTCAGGGTTTAAAACTCCCCCTTTTCTGGAAGCCCAGGCTAATATCTGCCAACTGTTAAATACTTTTATGACCCACCAGTGTCTTTGAAAACCTGCTGTGTTAGCCCTGGATTCCTCTGCTCTCAGTCTCCCAAAATGTGTCACGCAATGACTCTGTCCATGTTGCTTCTGACTGAGAGATGTTTGGGTGGTCAGGTCATCACTTCCATAATCTGACCGTGCCCCTCCGTATGGCTGCCTTGCAAGCAGATAATCTGCAGACTGTCTGGATGAGCTCAGTGCAAGAAGATAAATGTTCCCTAAATCACAGGGCAGGCTCAGGATGGGTGGTGGCAGTGCACTGCAGAGGACAGGGTCTGGGCTTGCCTGGGACTGCATTTGCAGACTTGTTCCTAGCATAGACTGAATTGCTGGGGCAACTGGTTGGCTAGGCACCAGGCTGATGGCCAGGTGCTTTGTGCCTCATATAAGATTTAGGAAATTAACTCTTAATTCTCTGCCTAACACAGGGTGTTTGGCAAGAATAATTTTTTTCTTAATCCTGAAAAATCCCTTTCTCAATGGATCTTCTTTTGCAATGCTAAAGAGGGTTTATACCCAAGAACGGCAATCTGAGGAATTTAGCTGACATGGACCAAAGTCCAAGAAGGAAAATGTGATGTTTAGAAAACATCAGCTAGGAATCTGAGCACTGAGATATCAGCAAACAGCTCTTCTGAGCTATATTTTATAATCTGGAAAGGAGTGAAAAGCATGAAACAGGATTTGAGATAAACTGTATTACTCTGAAATGAAGTGGAGAGGATATGTTTACATTTTACCAGAATGATAACTACTTGAACTTTTAGAGTTGGATGTCTGATTATGCCCTGTGCACACATCAAGAGGCTAAAATAAGGCATATGATGGAGATGGGCTAGGAAGTAGATGACATCATATTTGGACACTATCCTGTGTTACACATAGGGAGGAGTGAAATGTATTCATCAGCTTAGAGAAGGAAACTAAAAGTCTCGCCACATTTCAGGATCTGCTATACGATGAAAACATGTCTAAATATGGTGCAGAGATAAGAGAAAGACTACTCAAAACATCAGGACAAACACTAAGGCATCATCTCAGTTCTTACTAAGACTAACTCCTAGTAAAGCAAAAGACATCATTCTCTCAAACAGCAGTTCAGATAAATTCTGCCTTTGTCCCATAACGGTTAAACCCTCCCTTCATCTAACAAACAACTCCCCTCTTGAAAGAAATGTGCAAAGCAAACTGTCTGCTTTTCATGGACTGCTGTTGGCATCTCTGGAAATTTTATTTTCAGTCCAAGAAATCTATCAGTCCTGGCTAGGATAATAAACTTCTGCAAGTTTAACAGATAAATGCCATGCAATAAAATATATACATATTCTCTGTTCCCTCCTATCAGTGACATTGTGCACAGCTGTGAAAGCATTCTGACCTGATGAACTGAATTTGTTATTACTATAAATGCAACATTTGTAAAACACAATGTGAAATAGATTTTGCAGGAGGTCAATTCCTTGAGTGTTGTATCATTAGTCAGTGACAGGACATGCTGTGATGCATCTTCCGTATCTCTGTAATGTTTCCAATACAGCATCAATCATTAAGAATAGAAGTACCTGTAGGCAAAAAAAGCAGTAAACATTACATTTTCCAATGTCAGAAATGCAAGGCTTGGAAAAACAGACTGTAAGGTGGTCCAGAAGAGATGAAAATATTAGGAATACTTGCTTTGTTGTAGAGAGGTACTCAGTGATAAATTAGGGCATTCCATGTTATAAGAAGCCATCATTTCCTAAGCTACTCTTTTGGAGTCTACTGGTATGACTTGAGTACCTCCAAGTAATTGAGAACAGGTGGGTTCTCTGAGCCTGCCCACACCTGGAATACTTTGGCTCACTTGCAGGAACTGCTAACCCTTGGTGTTGCCGAGGCGGCTCACTCCAATCCGGTCAAGAGGAACTCCAAACCGTCTCTTGGGTAGCTCAAGCACTTTCCTGCATGAAAAAGAGCAAAGAAGAAGGGGAATGAAATGGGAAAAGGCACCCTATGAATAATCGAATGTTACTACATGTTTGATTCCTCCATTCATCCCACTAACACAGTTCAGACAGAACTGCCACGCAGAAGCAGCCAAAGATGTGAGTGTTTAAAAATAAGATGCTGCATTTGTCTTACAAAATACTAGGCAGAAGTTGCAGGTTTTCTACAGACTGTCTGAGCTTGATCCACTATCCCTGTTTTTATTTGGCAGCAAACAAATAATTTCACAGGTTAACTGCTCTTCATAAATGAAAGGCAATACACTGCTTTTATAAAGGGGAACTGTTTCATGCACAGTATTATATACTGCAGGTGACCCATTAGACTGGATCTTCGAAGTCTCCAGGGCCACCTGGGGCTAAGATAATCAAGGAGATAGAAAGTATTGCACACTAATAGAGGTGAAAAGTTAAAAAGGTCCTAGCAGGATTTTCTTATGGGGTCTCTGGCTATACACTGTTCATCAAAATTGTATACTAGCAATCCTTTGATGAGGCTGAAAATGGGAAGATTTTGCTGGTTTTCTTCTTCCATGTGGTAAGTTTCCTGACAATTTGATGAATTAGGGCATGAGGAAAGTGTGAAATAATTTCTATGCAGAAATATTTTTCATGGTTCTTTTCATATACAATAATAAGTTTTCCCATCTTAATTCAACATTTTTAGAGCATTTTTTCCACCAGCAGAAGTTTTCTTTTAATTAATTGTGGAAATGGCAAGATTTCATCAGCTGAGAATAACATCAACTTTTCCTTTAGAAATACTGTCAGTGAAATGCAGATCCAAGAGAAGCCCTGGAAGATTAATTCTTTATCAGGCGTTGTTAAGGACTTGTTCAGTAAGTTACCAGCTGGAGAGTAACTAGCAGGAGAGCATGCTCTGGTGCTCTCAAGTCTAACTCTGTCAGCACTGCTCCCTCACACTGGGGCTTCAGAGCTCTGCACGCCCCACCCAGAATTGTGTAGTCCATGGTCTTATCCAAGCAGGCTCCTCTTCTCATACCTCTTAGGCATGGACCAAAGAGGAGACCCATCATTCCAGGATCTGCAGCCCCACTTGCTCTTTCTTAGCTGCTTTTCAGACTGGGTCACAAAGTGGGAATTGCTGGTGTATGTTGTATGCAAGGAGCACCACACTGGTTATGCTGGAGCAGCTCCAGAACATTGCAAATGAAGGGGAGCCATTTGTATGGCCCTCCCTGTCCCTTCCTAAGGCACCAGCATTGTTACACTAAGCCATAGGGAAAGCAAAGGGAAGGGAAGTCAAGGGCTGATCCTCAGCCTCTTGCCTCAAGGATAACACTGTTTTCCCCCCAGGTGTAGGCACAAACTTAAGTGGGGGGGTGGGCAAAGCCATACTGAGCCTGCCTGGATAAAAGGGGAATTAATTCTCCACATTGGAATTGGATGGTGGGGGTGAGGAGGGGGTGGTGTTTCTGCACCATTAGCTGTAACACTGTCATGCTCTGTACTTAAATAGATAAGGAAATTGTGAAGTGATGCCTACGAGAGAGGCAGCGCAGCGGAGCGTCCCCTCTTGTGGCCACCCTGCGTCAGAGCAGCACAGCCACCGCTCCACCCTGCAACCACGCTGTCCCTCTTCCATCGCTTACTAGCGACAAAGTGACATTTCCTCCTTAAAACATCCTTGTCTACGATTCCCGCAGTCTTTTTCTCTCCCCCTGCCTATGGATCTTTTTACTTCTCCTGAAAATTTCCACCTTCCTGCATGCTTTTCCCATGCTTTTAGAGCGTTATGTTGATGTTGATGTGCAAGACCAGAATCTGGGCTCTCGTCTAACCAGGGTGTGCCAGAACAATCTGTTAAGTGGACTTAGATTTGATCTGCTCTTTTCCAAAAGTTTCTCTTTTGTGTTAGGCACTACACACACTGACTGTTGATTCAGGGGGCTCAATCTGTTTATCAGCTTTCAAGTAATTTCCTGGTCTCTAAAGGTAACTGTCTCAGCTCATATAGAAATGAGCTGTTCTCTTCTGGGTGAGCAACAGTGATGGGGTAATCAGTCCTCTGTTTTACTCTTTTAAGTGCAGCAGCCTCAAAAGGTAGAGCCTTATTATTGTTTCATAGCACCCACCTGGTATGTGTTCCATGCTGATGGTAGTACCAGACCATCAATACAATGATCAAAGCAGCTCAGATGGTTCTCATATATAACTCAACCCCAAACTTAAAAGCTAATCAGCTCCCCCAGGGTGATAATCCCAATGCAAACCTGCAAACTGTGCTGATGATGCTGGAAAGGGTGGAATTTTGTGCAATGTGACACTCATTTGCATGAGCTTGTTATTCAGAGACAAGCTGCTAGAAAACTTGGACAATTTTCACCACAATTTCCCTTTTTGTGTGTGTGTTTGTTTTGGTTTGTTTTCCCCTTGTATTGCACGTAGAATGAAAGAAGATTTCCATCCAAAAAGTGTGAGACAAATTGGGAATACCATGTACCTTTGCAAAAAAGTACAGCAGCTTCAAAAATGACCTTCTATTTCTTCCCCCGAAAAGGGAAAACATGCTAAAAAGCAAACAAAGAGTGAGCTGATTTTGATCTTTTAAAGAGACACATGGAACAGAATAGTTCTACTCAAGGTTTGAAAAATTTCGTATTTTATCGCTTTTGGCTGCAGTCAGTCGCAGTGGCAGACTGGGTGGATAAATGGAAAAACAACAAGAAATTATTGCAAAACTTTGCTTGAAAAAAAATACTTGTAATATTGACTGGCTCTTGTGAATACTTTCCATTTCCAGATTAAGCTTTAAGCATGTTATTAAATACTTTGTGGCATTAGGGATTCCATCCAAAAGAAGACAGTTACCAGAAGAACAGAACAAGACAGCTAAGCTCTTTCAGATACAGCAAAGAGCCCCTTGAGCTTTGCCCCACAGTCACTGTCTCTCCCCATCTGTATTGAGACCATCGTTGCTTAGCCCTGTTATAAACATGCTTATCTTCAAACACATGCCGTGAAGGTATTGCTGCATTGATTAAACCCTTACTTATCCAAAGCTGGGCAAGGTCTTGAAGCTCATTCTACTGCCTGTGCCCATTTTCATGAAGTGTTCTTCATGTTGCTATTTAAAACATGCACACCACCATACGTTCTTTCCACCCCAGCCTCAGGACCACCTAGTCCTACCCCTCAGGCATATTTTTGCTTTAAATAAGCTCACAATCAAAAAAGTAGTTTTAAACTGAGGTTTAGTTCACATCAGTGGAAAGAAGTGTACTGAAAAATCACATATTTGTGAATGTTCTCTGGCAGCCGTATAGTACTGCAGGAATAAATAAACTAGTTCATGTGTTATACAGTACAGCTGAAGGATTATGGACAGTGCAACCAGAATGGTTCCTAATCAGAGGTACCTCACAACTGGCAGCAGACCTGTTGGTGGCTAAAGCCGACCCATCAGTATCCAGAGCACCTACCAAATGCCTTCTGCAAACTTTATCACCGGTAAGAGCATCTAAGAATTTACCTCTGTTTGCTTTTAGCATCCACAGAGGTCGAAGAAATTCTGTCAATTGGAGAGCCAAATCCTGGGAAGCTTCTTTTCTTCTTGGTCTCAGTCACCTCATTCTCCAGAGACACCAAGTCATCAAGAAGGAACAATTTGTCTGCCAGGCTGGTGGCTGATTTCTCTTCACTAGCAATGGGAGGTGCTCCCATGCCCAGAGCAGCAGAAGGCTTCAAAGGCTACAAAAGAAATCAATAAAGTTTTCTGGTTGCTTGGATTCCAGAAAAACCATCTCAACCAGTGTCACAGCAGCAGTCCTGTAAATACATAACCACTGGGACACTGAAATTGGGACCTTCTGTGAAATGTGGCCATTTTCCACTGAAAGGATTTTGCCATCAAGGTCTGCAAATTTATTTTTTTATAAATTGAACTTGCTTTCATCATTATTCCAGGAAATATCAAAATTTATTGTTTCACAAAGCCTCTTTTTGCAGTTTATCCCACTATCCCTATCTCAGCACTGTGATTAGTATAACTTATAGTATGAAATGAGTAATTTAATACTTCTAAAAAATGCAATCACCATTATCCAACTCCAACATTTATCCTGGTAGTTTTCAGGAAACTGATTTTTGTTTTTTTAAATGAATGCTAATAAGTAGCAATGAAAACGTATACAGAATTTTCCATCCAAATATGGCAAATTAATTAACAGTTTTGCAAAACATATCCCAAAATAAACCTGCTCAGCACTAATATTTAAAGAACTTATGCAGAAACACTACATGGGCACAAGGAAAGGAAAGAACAGTATGTTGAGTGGACGCAACAGTTTGAACCTTAGTTACGACATTAGGCTTAACACTATTTCAAAACCAAACTCTACTTTGTTATCAGAATAGCTGAGAATATTGGGGTCTATCAAGAGAGAAATTAAACAAACCAAAGTTAAATATTTGCTTTGCATATAACAGAAAAATACAGTGCAGCAGCTAGTCTGCAAAAGCAAGCTCAAATCATTCTCTCTTCAGATGAAATGTTTGCCTTCTTGCTCCACTTGATCTTTACAGAATTAGATAAAAAAATCATAAGTTATGCCTTGAAACAGGTTTTATTCTATCTTTAGAAGCACACCATTATCCTTCTTATTCATACACAGTGGTTTTAGTGCAAATGTAACGGAAGGCATCACATGGATGATGCAATGTGCCTGTCTACTGTGGTCCACACCGTAGCTCTGGTGGGGATGTTTCCCACCACTTGATGGGTGGCATAAACAGTGATGGAGTGTATGAAACTGTGACCTTTATATGAGAAGATGACCACAACGATCACGCAAATGATGTAGCACTGTTGATACTTTTGTAAAGGATCTCACATTATCCTCTGACTCCACTTTTTATGAGCCCCAAGTACACAGAGCAATCCTTGCTGTTTTTCTTTCAGGGTTATAAAACTTTTATATAAACTTGCAACAAAATCATGTCTTCAAAAAAGACTCAACTCTTCCTTCCAGTTAGTGGGAATGACTATCTAGAATAAGACTTGAAATTAGAAGGTCAAAAATAGCCTCTGCTCTTGAGTACTTTGCAGTCCCACTTACTTTGTTTTAAAAAGATATAATAGAATTGTAAGAAGTAAAGAGATAGTTAAAACAGTCATCAGAAGTAGAAAACACTTTTCCTATGGTGAACCACTGAACCAAATACAATTTCACAGATAAGCAGAGATGAGAGTGGGGTGCAGAGATACAGTGGATTTATAAAGTTATGAGCAGCAACGAGGTGAATAAAGACTGGTAAATTTTTCCTCAAGAAAAAGAGCTCCTCAGTCCACCCAGTGAAGTCATCAGATTGTGGATTTAAAATAAATATAAGGAGTTACTTTTTAAACACAGCCTGTAGATGAAGGGGAATGCATTGCCAAAGGAAGTCATAGAATCTGAGATTTTAAACTCTTTCGAAGAGAAATTCTGGCCCATCAGCACCTAAAACATGCCCTGGTTCAGTGCAAGCCTCTAGATCAAGAAACCTCCAAACCTCTTATATTCTTTTCACAAAAATCTACCACTGATATAGACAGGATACCAGGTCTCTGTGGCACCAGAACAGCAGCTGCTGCAGTGCTTTTGTATGGTCAGGACATGCTTGTGTGAAGACAGAGAGTATGGTAGAAGGATCCAGCAGTATTCTTCAGTATCCATCTAACTTTTAAACCTATATAAAGACTCTACAGCCAAACAGTGCTACTTTGATTAAACTTTTAGGTACTTGATTTTTTTTTTTATGGCATTACATAAATATCTTTCCTGCCAAATCTGGCATATGTCAAGTTGACTAAAAATAGAGAATGCAGTAGAAGTATTTTCAGGTGCAACCCCTGCGTGTCATCTTGGATGAAACATGAGAAAACTCTCCCATTTCATCTGCTGCTTTCCTTCGCAAGCTCAGGCAAGTGACTTGCCATCTTCCTCCTAGTCTATTCTGTCTCCTTTAATTTGTAACTTTTGTGCAGGTGATCTCCTCTCAGGGATCTCCTTATGGCTTCTGAGAGCTGCAGCCTTCTCATGCTATTGTCTTTAAGAAGAATTAAACTTCTCCTTCAGTGTTAGAGGAGTTTACTTTCCCCCTTGCCATCACCTTCCCCTCTGCAGGAAGTTCTCTGTCCACTAGACAATGTTTTAACACACGGGAGATCCCATGGTGTTTCGGGAGAGGTTGTGAGAATTTGGATGGGACTTCATTCTGTCTGTCCTCCCAGAGCCATGCAATTTGCACCTTTCTTCACTAGGCTCCTCCTCTGCCCTTGCAGAGCCAATATTCTCCAACACTGTTTGGATACCTTGGTGTCTTACACACTTTGTGGCCAAAAACACCCAAGGAAGAGCAGTTACATGTCAACCACCAGAAACATTTACTTACCTCCGGGGCTGCCTCTGCAAGGAGCACTGAGCTAGAGTGCCACCACAGCAGGGAAATCACAAGGGCCAAATGCACCACCACAAACTGTAACTGCAGCATCTGCAAAGAAGAACAGTCTGTTAATGACTCCACACCTATGTTCCCTGAGGAATCTTGCTCCAAAGGTCTTAAAAAAGTAAAAACAAAGGGAGACTCTCTTGCTATGACTATTAATGTGTTTTATCCAACAGTCACAGCATAAACCTCAGCAACCAGATAGTGTCAGCTGAATGCTCTTCACTTTTTCGCACAGAATCAGCTCCCTCTTCTGCTCCTTTACAGACCTTCAAATCTTTTGATTCCTTTCTGCACAGTAGGGCAGTCCTTGCAGCGACAGCCATGATGAATGCAAACTTGGGTTAAAACCAGGTGACCTAGCCTATCCTAGCCAAGCAGGGATACTTCAGCTGGTAGGTTGACCCTGACATGCCCACATGCTGGAGACGTGCTTAAAGCTGTGACAGAAATCATATATCTCTCCAGCAGCATTTTGAAAGCAAAGTTGCATTTCACTAGTCCTTTAACATGACCTAACGGTAGCCACAACTTCCAGGGGAATCCTGGAATAAAACTGTCCAGTTCACACACCTGGGAAAAGCTTGCATGCGAATATGTTGCTCAGACTGGTGTGACCATGTCCTACAGCTGCAGAACCGCAGATGCCTACCAAGGAGGGACAAGTTTTGGGAGGCTCAGGATTGTGAAGCTGCCTGCTCCAGGGAGTTATCTTGTATTTAGCCTACATTGTTTAGGCTCCTGTTTGGATCTAGCTCTTAAAACCTGATGCGCCTCCAACTGACTCAGGTGGGAATATTTTAGCTAATGTTAATAAGAACTAGGCTGGAGCCTCTAGTTCTACAAGCATCTGTTAATTTCCTGATTTCCCTGTTTCCAGGTCCTGTCCCAGAGTATAATTCAAGTCTGATTCTGCCATTCTTTGCTGAATCTCCACTTTGCAAAAACAGAAATGGAAAGGGTGTATAAATACATTTATATGATGCATAATGGTTGTTTTATCCTTTGCGTAGAAAACGTCTCATTAGATCAGGCAGCAAACACATGGTAAAAAACTGGGTTTTACTTTTTCCACACACTGCAAAAGAGTAAAACCTCAAAAGCATTTGGAGTCCAGTTTTAAAAAGATATAACACTTGCAGCAAATTCAAAACTCTGTTTCGTGCTTAGCTTCTTCAAAACATTTTACACATGCTTCTGTTATTTGGTTACCCTATATTTTATATATAGATATATATATTTTTTCATGTTGTACATGAGGGATCAGCAGTTAGGAAGAAAGGGGATGATTACTCTGTAGGGGTGAGGCAGACTTAGTTCACTGGAATCAAAGGATAAAGTGGAAGGAGTAAATCAGGCAGTACTACAAACTGTTTCTCAGTTTGATAGCAACAGACAATGCCTGACATAAACACAAGGGTCTGACTGGGTGTTTCTAAAGTTCTAACCCTCTATAATGTATATTTTTGTATGTGGGTGTGCATTGAAATTTGAAGTAGCAGTCTACTACCTTCACAGGTAACCACATCCTGATTATTTGGATACAGAGATGTAAAAATAAATGGCAAGGTTAAAAATACATGTTTATTATGATTTAAGATCTGTGCTGGTATTCATTCAACCCAAAGACCAAAGAGCTAAAAATAGCAACTGGTACACTAATCAAAATAAACATTAAGGCACCTGCAACACAAAAGACATTTGATTAACGGGTCACAACTTGCTGCCAGTGAAATTAGAAGCAGAGGAAATTGTAAGGACTTAAAGTTTGGCTCTAGTTCTTATGGGAGGGAGCAGCTAAGAGGCTGAAAAGGGAGCAAAACTTCAGTCCAGCAAGACCCTGTTTTACTGATTTTCATACAGCAATGGGACCACAGCAGGAGAAGGAAGCAGGGTTGTTGTAAGGGAGCAGTTTAGTTTTAGAAAAACATTTACAAAACCAATGGTGCAATGAAGATTATGTAAATATAATTAAAATCACACTTTCTTCTCCAAGTGCGGGACTTAGCTTTCCACCTCCAGCCAGTTGTTAGGTTTTTTCTCCTTGAGCTCATCTGTTGTAATTGGGTAAGCAGAGCCCTCATGCTGAAATGGGGCTTTCCCAGCCATGCACTGGCTACTGCTTCACCTCCTCCATATTTTACCTTGACACATTCCAAGAGAGAACTTAGGAGAGGCTTTACAGTATTTGTTACTGAATGAGAATAAGCAAAGCTCTGACAAGCCTTTGCAAGACATGCCCCTTGCTATATGTACTGAATTTACATCCTTCCAGAAAATTCTTTACAACAAATTTCACAGAGCTAGGTCAGGGGATTGGGGTATAATTCCATGTCTTTATTATCTCAGGGTCTGGTGTTATCTGACTTAAAATATGGTTTACCCTTCCCTAAATGTAATTGCAAGTCTGAAATTCAGACATCTTTATGTGTCTTAGTGATATTTTAGCTTGAAATGTGTCAAAACTAAAATTCCTCGTGTAATTAGGTATCTTTGTTGCAGGTCCAATTAAAATAAAATTAAAGATAAAAGAGAGAACATTATTCTACCTTATCAAAGCAGGATAAACATACAAAACTTTTACTTAGGAATCTGTAGAGAGCCATTTTCCAAGAAAAGATCACAAGAAAGCAAAACACTTTACCAAACAGAAACTGTTAAGTCTCCAACATCCAACCAAAGGACTTAATGGATGTTTTTCTTTTAAAGAAAAAAACAAAAACCAAAATGACATCCTGAAGATAAGTGGGCTGAACAAACTGCAGACAGAATGCAATTCATCACCAAGCTCCAAACCCATTGCCTGTCAAAAATGGTAACAGCTATCATTGTTCTTACCCATTTGAACTATCATATTTCACATTACTGTGGAGATTACTCTGCGAGCATAAATTACAAGGGCCTTATTTTTCTTACTGGCCTGTTAGCAAGAGAACCGAGGCAAGACATCATGCCTTGCACTGTAATCTTTCACTTCAGCTGCCACTATATTGATGACTCTGCTCTGCTTGTTGCTGCAGCACCAGCACGGGATGTGCCCAAGCTCACCTACAAACGAGGACCTTGCTCTTGCAATGAGCACCTTGTGGCTGAACACAGAAGCCCTTGAGGTTTGGTCCTGGACACTCCCAAACTGACCTGATGAAGAGCCAAAGCATGACTGTCCCATAGGCATCAGGAAGCTCCTCTTAGGAGCAGTGCCTCTTAGGCCTCCAGTCCTTCTCTTATATGAACACTGGACTAGTACTGGTAAGCCTTAATCAGCTGTTAGTCACGAAGATCTTTCATATCATGTAGATTCCATCCAGCTGGGGGAATCACAGCTGTGTCTGCAAGCGAGTAACTGGGGTATTTTGTTGCTGCTCTAGTGCCACAAATTAGAACATTAACTTCTGCTACCTGATTTAATCAAATGTACCACTGAGTACTAACATAGGCCTCATCAGCCTCAGAGTGCGTACTGACTGGAATATACCTTGCCCAAAAAAATTAAGATGGATGATTATCTTACCAAAAGAACAACCTGAATGTGGATTGTGTGAAGATCTAAGAATAAGTCTGCTATTGCTGGGACAAATTTGCATTACTTTCAAAAGTTGTAGGGTGATCCTCTGATCATATATTTTACCACAAAGCCAAAAATGTGTCCACATCAGCAGTCCTAGTGATTTCAGAAACTGCTAAGGGCCCCTGTGTATCTCAGGTGCAATTTCATAGTCATGTAAATGTCAAGGAAAAGGGAGAAAAATCAAAATAAATCCCACCCTCAGAAAAAAACCAAAAACAAAAAACAAAACAACAAACAAGCAAACAAAAACACACACACACACACACAAAAAACAGAGTCCAAAACTAGGTTAGAGTGGTGTTTTTGTTGTCATTCCACAGATGAGATATGGAGCACCTCTCACCTCTTTCTAAAAGATACTGAAGCAAGACATTGAAGCATGGGACTTGCATGGCAAAATGAAATGTAAGCTGCCAGTGTCAGGCCCTTAATGTTATTAATAATGTGTTTCTTGGAGTAGGTATAGATTTTTAAACAATGCCGTATATTTTATTAGCTTTATGGCACAGACATTGCTACAATATAATTTCCCTCCGATTTCAGTTTCCTGAATATGTAGATAAACAGATGCAGGTAGTTGTCATCTGATGGAACAAGAGAGAATTTAAAATTCATAAAATTATGCAAGAGGTGTATGACTAGTTATTTTGAGATAAAGCCTAGGTATTTTTGTGTCCCAAATAAAACTTCTGGTCACACAGTGTTTCAAGGCCAAGGATGTTCCATTTTCTGAAAATGAAGTTCCTTAAAGGTTTCTCAAGAAGGCACTCAAGATTAGTCATTGATTTTCATAGTCTTCATTTTAACGATTGCATTCCCTGTAACACGATTTCTAGCGTTGGGTCCTGACATATTTTCATATCACCATTCAGTCACTTTTGCCTGTTTGATAACTGTGCTTTTGCTCAGAGGATGCTCAAGCACACAATTGTTCCTACCATTTGTACTCTGATAAAACAGATTCAGTCACGGTTTAGTCCCTGCAGGGTTTGACTGGACTCTGCACTGACCCTGCCCACACCAGACGCAACATTTGTGGGAGCAGCACACGCATCACACGGCTCATGTGGAGAAAGGATGGAAAGATGCCCTCTAATTTCCACGTGGAGTTCAAGAAGTGTCTAAATTAATAAAGCCATGTAAGAGTACCTTTGCTTAACAGACACAGGCATGATTCAGGAAAATTTAATTGACAAAGATGGACAAACACTTGTGGAAGACCAGTCAGTCATGGTACTCATCTCTCCCTGTGAATAAAGGGCATGAAACCAAATAGCCATACAGAACAGAGGATGCTTTTCTTTAGAATGGGCAGGAAGGACACAAGCTGGACATCTTTCTAAGCTGAATACACTGTGCAATAAATCAATTTCTAGCAACGGATTTTAGACATTAAAACCCCCAAATTCACATAAATACCATAAAAGTAGGAGATCATGGAGCAGGACACAAACAGAGGTGATAAAGTCCATCTAGA